AAATTTTGAATATGTTCTGAGTTTAGAATTTTCATTTGATAATAGCAGTTCTCCACTTGTTCACATACCTGCTTTGTAAATTTGATTGTAAAATTTTACAAATTGTTGCTTAATATTTGTGTTTTGAGGATTTTTCTTTTCAGAAGAAAATCTAATGATGCTTCCTGTAATATGGTTTTAAGATTAATGAACCAACTATTTGATATAGATGACTTTTTCTGTTCATAGAATGCTTGTTTAGTTAGATTATCATCTGGTAATTCCACGATATGCAGCCAATATTTTATTATTTGTTTTTTGATGTCAAGTAAAAGAGGATATTGAGGATATTGTGTATGATATCTAAATTAAATTATGATTTTTTATGATATCTAAATTGTGTATGATATCTAAATTAAGAAGCAGAGTACTGCAGCCCCTTTGAGATTTACTGAGAAATGGAAGACTAGATAGCTAGTAAATATTTTGTATCATTGGGATAAACCTGTGTTCCGTTCTTATATTGCAGTGGTTTAAATTTAACTTGAGATAATATATAATTAAATATGAATTATTTTTCAACACAACCTTGATCAATACCATTTCATGTAGTACATGTTATTTATATTGCTATATCAACCTACCCACTTCAGATATTTTTAGATCAAACAGAATTTTTCAACAGGTAGGGCAAACCTTATGATGGTTTAAATTTGTAAAAATGTTGTTAACCTGAATCTGAATGATTCGCAACTACCTTGTCAGGTTTGAATTATACCATAATAATTTTATGACAATGACTGAAATTTTCTATAGTGACAATTATCTTGCACGTTTTCAAATTGCTAATTTGTTAATTTTTGGATTATTTTTGTCCAGAATGTTTTTATTGACTTAATTATTGGAAACAACTACCAATACCAGATTGATTGGTATGTAATAGATATTTATATGCAAATGATATGATTCAAGGCTTGTTTTTCATTCTAATTATTTTATCATGCATTTATTTAAATTTTATTTTAATTTATTAGTTGTTTTTTAAAATGTTGGTATTCATGAATGCCCTTGACGTAGTTAAAATAATACAACATATGTTCACTTATAAACAGCAAAAAAATGCAAAATATATTCAACAAATATTTTCATCTTCTTGAAAAAGGTTGTGTTCTCATAGATTACTTCTGCATTTTTGGGGGGGAAGGGGTAAAAGAATTATTCGCTTATTTGTTTTGTTATCATTTATTAATAAATTTACTTCCAAGTAATTTATCTCTCATAAATTATTGATTAGAAAATGTTCCCTGTGTATTGTTAAACTTTTCATCTTTTATGCTAACTGCATCCATATTTTAGAGTTCAAATTATTACATCTAACAGTTATGCATGCTATGATTGGTTAAAGCTCAGTCACATGACATTGAATAATTTACATACATATAGGGGTTTACACCACAATTAGAATAAGGCTGTAAGGTCAACACACTTTTTGCACTGTTGTTCGACTTTAAAATTTGTTCTTTTTTGTTGGGAAATGTCATTTTGTCTTTACAAAATAAATAATAAAATTGAAAACATAATTAGTTTTATGTTATTTTCTTCATTATAGTTTGATAACAGCAACTTAAACACCAATGACTCTACATCTGGTGAAGAATGTTCACAATGGAATTCAGTTGCCTCCTGATGTGCATACAGTTGCTATGGTAACAGGAGATTATCTATATTATCACTATAGATGTGATGGATTTGATGATCGGGTAAACTATAATTTTTTTTTTTTTTTTTGGACAAAATATAATTGTACAGCTACATGTAAGTGTTTGAGCACCGTAATTTTCCTGTCTAAATCATGGCACAATGTTTTGTCGTTTTTAAGTTTTTTCTATCAGTTTCTTTGAAAATTTCCAACCAAATAGACATATTTTTCTATTGACTACAGGTTTTAATCAAAACCAAAAAAAAAAAAGTAATTCTGCTGTTTTTTTATTTTGTTGAAATTAATTCCTGTAGAAATTGTCAACTACATCATCCTCTGGTATCCAAAAGTACTGTAAAACCATTTATTTTCACTGACATTTAATTTCTCTACTGAATATTTCGTCATTTAGAGCATATAACTAAATGGGTTTTAAGTTCACAAATTTGCCAGAGGAATAATGCATTCCATTTGGGCCCTTCCATACAAATTGTAAAACTTCTGTAGACAATTTTATATAAAATTACATTCCATTAAGTTTCTATATACATTTATACAATTCCGTAGAACTCACTAAATAATTTTTTTATTTTGTTCACATTAATTGATTACCCCTTTCTGTGCTACTGCAAATGTGGCAAATTTTCACTTTTATGGTTTAAAATAAAATTTTATGGTAATTCATAAAACTTTTTCATTTTACAGTAAACCCAATTTATCTGCACATAAATTTGTTCTTGTGAAATTTCAGGGCTGGGGATGTGGTTACAGAACTCTACAGACTTTATGTTCTTGGGTGAGAATAAAGCAATTAAAAATGGGAAAAGAGAGTAGAAAAGAACCAACAAATCAAGAAATTCAAGAAGCTCTTGTGACAATGCAGGATAAACCAGCTGAATTTCTTGGATCCAAGCAGTGGATTGGTGCCTTTGAAGTCTGCCTCTGTTTGGACTATTTCTATGATGTAAGACATGCCACCATCCCCTCCATGCATAATGGTATGGTCAGAAAGTCAGGTCCAATCATTGGATTTGTTCATATCCAACCATCCCCACTCTGCATAATGGTCATAAAGTTAGGTTCAATGATAATGATATGGTCAGGTATTAGGTCCAGATTTGTACTTGTCCAATTCTTCCCTCCACACTTAATGGTTTGGTCTAAAAGTTGTATTCCAATAACTGGAGTGGTTATTTTGTAGTCTTTCACTTGTATGCCAAACCTGAGGTTTCCCTGACCTTTTGAATTGCTATATTTGCTCTAATAGCAGCGCATACTCTTACATAAATGACTGAGTTGTGTTAATGGTCAAAATATATCCAGCATATAATAAATAACATTCTTGGCTCATGTACACTACTAATAGAGATGCGCTTCTAATAAAGCAAATACTATATGTCCCTGCCATCATAGGCTTCATTATACATTATACATCTGTCACCATAATGCTATAAGTTACAGCGTGCCATAATTTTGCAATATTTTACAAGGTATTTTCATCCCACGATATAAGGAAATGCGAATTTCAAATATGGAATGATTACGCACATATGCGTACTCTAATAATAAAAACAAACACATGGCTGCCACCGGGGTTTGACCGGACCCCACACAATAAAGGTTGGCTGATTCTGTTAGCTGTGCAGCGGTCAACACTGTTTTCGTGCATACTTTGCGGTATCCTCGTAATAACCTCATAGTATGCTATATTTGTGAATATAAGGTAGAAGCCTACTCATAAATTAAAAACCCAAAATTTATTCATTTTGCAATAAATTGTATGCCAAGGCAATATAAGGATAATGACCTAAAAAAAGTTTGGGGGTCACCAGCCTTTTTTTCGAGAAATTGATGGTTGTATTTTAGTGAAAAGTCACCATTTTTACACTATTATAACACTTTTACCACAGGTTCCTATGGCAGAGATATTATGCAATATCTCAAAATCTAGCCTAGTGACATAAGCTGAAAAAATCATATATTGTTAATGATGGAGTATTTTTTGTTGTTATGAATTATTTAAAAAATCTGGGTTTTAGTGTCAAAAAATGCAATTTTTCTTTAACATTGTGTTCTATGGAATTGTTCTAAAAATAGCAATTTTCAAGAAATATTAGGACACGTTTCTCAAAAAGCATGACTGTAAATCACAAAATAATGCTATTTCATTGTACCATGAAACATTAGCTTCATGATTGTACATAATAAACTAATGAACATTGTCATGCAATTTATGACCAATTTTGTCAAAAATGATGACTAGGCTTCTACCTTAACACATTGCATGTTGATGCATTATTTTTTGACTGTCTATTGAGGTTTTCAGCTAGCGTTATGTTAACTCTGATTACAACTGTTTATATGTACATAGGTATCCAGTAAGATCATACATGTGACAAGTGGAGATGACATTGAGAGTAAAATTCCTGAGTTGTTCAATCATTTCAAGAATATAGGATCACCAATTATGATGGGTAAGCAGTGAAATTCTAAAAAGATTCTCTGACTTTTTTCGCTAGTTATGATATTTAAAAATATTATTTTTTTTTCTAATTTTGTTAATTTTCTGTTTTCTACTGTTAAGGCTGACCATGAAATGAAAATGTGCACATAGTAAATTCAGAAAAATGTTCTATAGAAAAAAATCAGAAAAAAAGATATGTTTAGAAGTAACAGCAAATGAAAAAAGAAAACTTATCATTTCACAGCATTATCCTGAAAGGAAAATCTACCTCGGTGTAGGTGAAACATGATTTAAAAAAAAAAATTTTTTAAATGGTCAACCTTTTATCTATAGTTTGAATGCTTTAAACTGATTGACTCAAATCATAATAAAATCCAAAAGTTGTATTTTCAGCAAAAAATAAAATGTTTGCGCCGTTCAAGATTTATATTGATCAAAACCCGACTCATTGCATTGTTTACGACTAAGCTTTATCTCCACGCTGTCACGCTGGTATGTCCCCCATTGTTACATCAAAGAGTATGGCTATCATATTTTAACTATGACGAAATACATAACTCAGTATCCAATAACAACTATTCTCAAACAACACTTAAAA